GTGAGAGCCAATAGCTGGCTGCCCACGAATAGGAAGGAAGATTCTATTGGCCAGCATGAGCCAACAGCTGACTGACATGAATGTTAACTAGCATGCTAGCAAAAAAAAAAAAAAATTATAGCTGCATTCATCACAAGTGGGGAAAATTTAAATCTGCATGGCACTTTACTCCAATTGGCTCATTTGCTTGCTTAAACTCAACGTTGATTCTGATTTGCAGAACTGGGTTGGGTGTGAAAAAGTATTTGTTGTTAACATTCTTTTTCATTCGGTTTTTCCAGTTCGAGTCCTTTTAAAGCTGATCGTTTTGTGTTCATTTTGTTTAGTTCTTTTTTAAATAACAGATTTAATGTTTAGTATAGAGCTTGAAAAAAATTTGCAGTGTGAGATAGGCAAGAAGTAAGGCATGTAGCAACATCAGCACGGCAAAGGCACTCCTTTAAAAACAAGGAAGGGCAAAAATATTTTAAGTCAAGTGATAGCGATTGCTGTATGTAAAACGATTTTTGAATTAAGCACAGGCAATGCCCGGCCATGCTGCTAGTAAGAAAATATAAATCAAGTATATTTACAGATATACACATAGAATCAAAGTGTCAGTGCCGATATACAGTCAATATAGTATTTATATATATGGCAGGATTAATACAAATATAAAATTTGTCACTTAGCTGATTGATATTAAGTACCCCAACTCCAGAGTACTGCAGATGAATTTTTGTGTAATTGCTTGGTCCATTCATCAAGCTATTATTATCAGCAATTCTTTTGTTGATTTTCTCATTTTTATATTAGGTTAAAAAATAATTTAAGAATTTTCTTATTGGTGTCAGGTAGATTTTTTTTTTGTGCAAGTGTGCATAAATATGTAGAATAATTTTCTTGTCTCCCTATATTCTCACATTATTCCTTTTCCTTATTTTTTCTCTTTTTCAGTTTTTTTGTTGTCAAAGATAATCTGACAATGTTATTTCTGGTATCACAGACAGCAGTTTTTTAGGCTAATTTTTTCAAATATTCTGGAGATTTTTAAGTTAGGAAAATATAAGTGTATTCCATTTTTTATTTATTTTTATTTAAATAATTATTTTTAATTAATTCTTAAATATTTATATATAAATATATATTTTAACATTCTAAAAAATCATATTTCTTGCTAAAGTGTACTTATTGATATTGATCTTTCTGTTTCTGTCAAATAATCCATCAAAGCAATAGACGTGTGAATATATTATAATGCTACTGCTCTATAAAAGAATATATCTCACCATATTCATATGTAGATGTGCATATAGGTGTCTAGATAAAATTACATACACATTCATGTATGCCAACCAGGTCCAGGTAAATATATTCAAATGTATTAATAAAAGCCATGGGCTATTAAACATTTTTTCTTTTTAAAAAACCAAAAAACCAATGAACAAACAATAAGTAAATAGGCTGCAAAGGTCTCCTAAGGTCATAAACATCTCTTCTTTTTGAAAGACAAAGAATATGTACATTGCTAGAAGATAAGAACGTGTCAAGAAATAATGACAATAAAGCAAGTAAGTGGCAACCTTTTTTTGAATAAGCACCTCCCAAGTTCACTAACCAGAAGAAGAAAACTTTACTTTTTCTTTTTTTTTTTTACAAATAATGGACAACAAGTCAACATGATATTCAAATTAGATCTTTCTCTCACATTCACACTCTTTGAGTTTGGTGTGACCTAAAATGAACCAACTTGAAATTCACTCTTTTAGGAGATAGTAATAGAAAAAGTTGTAAGGAATCAATAGTGACCATAAGAAACCAAATAACAAATAGAGACTCAAAGCCAGTTTTAGTCAGGCAAGAAAAGCAACAAAGGAATAAAAAGAAAAAAAAAAAAAATCATATTTTTCAGCAAAGTACCCTATCAGTGGGGGTGACCTAATGGATTTCCTTCAAATTGCTTTTGGCATTTCCCTGTTCATGGGTTTTGCATATTATCTGTCTATGTGCATACACATATAGTTATATCAATACACAACTTTTATATATATATATATATATATATATATATATATATATATATATATATGTATGTTCTACTTTGATATATGTTCATGTGTGTTTTAAAAGCAAACTGAATAACATAAACGTTCTGTCATTGAGAGATGCAGGCATGAACACTAAACTTATGAAGAGGCATAAAAATATGGAAATAAAAAAAAAATTACTCACAATTTCAAGTTCATTTTTTATTTATTTAAAAAATGTTATGGGAATGCACTGATGGAGACAATTTATGAACTTTACCAGAGAATTTAATTATTTTAAAGTTTTCAGTTTTTCTTATTATTCACTTCGTTTATTTTTGATATCCCAATAATTAACAATGAATTTTTAAACACAAATTATCTTACAATTTTACCATATTTTGATAATGCTTCAAGTCCCACTGAACTCATCAATCAGACATGAAAAGAACATGTAAATGAGAGAAAAACTGAAATATTTTAATTAATTAACCCAGATATAAGAGAGTTGTCGGGACTGGAGAAAAGTCTCTTATATCAGGTTTCTCTTATATCGGGTTTGGTCTATTTTATATACATTAACACAGGCTCTAATTTGGGACCAGAGAAAATTTCTCTTATATCCGGGTTACACTGTAGTATATTTACCATTCATTTTTATAGTATATTTTTTAAAGCTTTTAGAATCATAACTATCTTGGTTTGTCATGTTTATAAATGTTACATTTTGTTAAAGAAATAACTTAGTATTCTGAAAATATATCAGTTTGAAAACTTTTATATGTTTCAATGCATCTTTTTTAGCATCAAATTCTGCTAAGATCATATTTATCTTTCGAAGAGGACACTTATAATTAAAAATCAGAAAGAGACAGTTGGAATTTCTTTATCAAATACAATGAGGATAGAGAGAGCTTTGAAAGTGGGATGCTCATAGGACAGATTGGAGATAAAGGGACAGAAGAAAACAATGCACAATGTACCTAGAGAGTTTGAATAAATGGATGGCAGAACAGGGTTTAGGAGAGAACAAAAAGATAGAATTTATTAAGAGCTACAAAAACAGGAAATTGTGTACAGCCAGCATCATGAAGGAACATGGCGCATAGAAAAAAGGATGCAATGTCTATTATGGGATGTGGGTAAGTGAATGACAAGATAGGAAAATTTATCAGTGACACTTATTAGTCTGAGATAGAAATTCTCCAGACTCATAACAAGTTTTATTGAAGGAATCCATCTTATATATAAAAAGAGAGAAAAAGGTGACTGGTTCCATCAATAAAACCATTATGAGTCTTAAGATGTTCCTTCTTGTAATGAAACATGATTTTTCTGATCTTGTCATTCATTTAGCTACATTTAAACTGGTATATCCATTTTTATATTATATCCTTCATATTATGACAAGTAATAAACTTTTTCTTTCATTTCAGAATGCTTAATGCTGGAAACATTTCTTTGGAAATTATGCATACAAAGAAAAAACAGAATGTATTTTCATATTTGTTTATTATTCAATACAAGTATCTTTCCAATTTTCCTAATCTTATTACAGTTTTAGTGGATTTTTGTTTTAATAAATAAATGGAGTGCCTATTCAAATATGGTTTGGTTTGGTTTTATCAATGGGTCAAACATTAGATGTTTATTTTCTGATTATGTAAATTTCCCCCAATTTGTCAACATTTTAAAGATTTTAATAACCAACAAATGTTTTTTTATTACATAAACACAAATATTTTTTCACATACTTTTTATTGAATCATAAAAATTTAATAATTTTGAATTATTCTTTTGAATAAAACTTTGCATATTGTTTTAAAAATGACAGTCGGTAATCTTGTTATGATTCTTTCATATTTTAAATTTTTAAATAAATTTGTTAAAACAAATATGGGAATTTTTTTGCCAAATATGAATAAAGCATATTTTTTAAAACTGCATATTTTAAATTTTCTCTTATAAAGGTATATTGCTTTATTTGATATGATTAAGAAATTTATCCTTAATAGCAAGATTTATGATTATATTTTTTTTAATTTAGGTGGTATAAAAAATAAAATTAAGAGTATAAGAAATTAAAACACTTCATCAAAATGTTTTTATTCTTAAAAGAAAAGTTTTCTGTAAATCTGTCAAGAACTATATTTTCTTGAATATTTCTTACAACTATAAATCATATCCACTGTGTATGCTGGCATTGCCATGCAAAAGCTAAGAGATGTTAGTGTTCTCTAAATTTATTAACTATCATGTACGATTAGTAGTTATATATTCATTCCAATTGATTCCAAAAAATGAAAATTACTTATGACTCAACCTAATTACTTATGACTCAACCTAATTACTTGTTCTGTTACAGTGTTTCAATGGATATTTTCTGACAATTGTCAGTTAATTATTATCCAGTTTATTAGCTTCAGATAAACTTATAGAAGTCAGTTAACAATACAAAAAAGTAGTGTTCATGAATATGATAAACCATTGGTATATTTTTGTAGACAAGATTATATAATTATCAATCTATTTAACTCTGAGTAAAATCACAATTGGCAACCTAATAATGGTTTTTGGTTGCAAAATATATATTGATATACTCAAACTAGGCATATGCATAAAAACTGTTTTTTTGAGGTTTTTTTTCACTAATTCTATGTATGGAGGTCAATATATAGACATAAGTATTAAAAAATAAATGTGTTTCAGAGAAAAGACTAGATTGAATAATGATCAATTTGGTCTTTACAGATTATCAACCCTTTGCGAGTTATTTAAAGCCTGAAAATATTTAGCATTGGAAGAATACAGGGGTGGGGAGCAGATTATAATGATTTACTGAAAGAAGTCTTACTATTGCCCTATAACTGGGAGGGAAAAGATGAATTCATACTTTCCCCTGAAGGTATATGCACATAAGTGAATATCACAAACCCAACTGGAATTGGAAGTCCACTTTCCAATTCTTAGCCATTATTCATTGCACCATCCAAGATTACAGCACCTGGTATTCCCAAGTAGTCACCCATCTAGGTACTGACAATGCTCGATGATGCTTAACTTTGGTGATCATATATAAGAACTGGTGTTTCAATGTGATATGGCTGTAAGCCCAAGAGAAAAGACATCATTCAAAACACACCTAATAGTGATGGATTGTCTTTGTTTATATTTTGATGTCAGTTCAAAAAATGAGCATAAACCAGCAGTTAAGCTGCTACAATAGAGAAGTCAGGCACTCTGATGTTATCTAAGATTTCCTCCCCAAGACTTGCATGCTGCAGTTCTAGAAGAGAGACAAGCCACCTTATGGATAGGATATATAGCTGGCTAACCTGTTGATATCAATTCTTTCTATCTCCTTTTCCCTCCCTTTGAAAACAAAGCAGGTAAAAATAAATCTAAAGAAAATCAATTGTGTCTATTGATGCAGCATTGGGCTCCCTACAGAGGAATTTCTGATAGACCACAATGTAGGGTACCAGTTAAATCAAAGGAATAGAACAATGTGAGTTCCATTTATGACGGTAAACCATTTTCAACTGTGACTGATTTCAGTTTGTTATACCAGTGCACTAAAACACCACTTAATCTAGAGAAAGAGAGAGAGAGAGAGAGTTGCTATGTCCTGTTAAAATCTTCTTTTGGTAGTTTAATATAATCTTCTTCATCCATAGTTTGTCCATGCAGAAATGTAGTTTTTCATGTTCAGGAAATGTCATTTCCATTGACATTTCAGCTAAAACTGACAGTACCAATTGAAAAGACATGTGAGTATAAGTTTGTGATGTTTTTTTGAATATTGTCACCAAGCTCTGCAAATTGATTTGCCACTAATCTTTCTTTTGACAGGATTCCATTAAGGCCTAGATTTTCAGCTCTATACCCAGTTGATAGCTATACATTTCTGACCAACATTTTCTACTTCAGTGAAAACATTATTTTAGCATCATCAAATTGAATATTATCTATCATTTACCAAACCATTATTTTCACCTGTCAACTTATTGATTACTTGACCTTGACCTACAGACATTTTTTTCACCTTTCAGATTTATTATTCAAATGTTGAACAGATTTTTTCTGACAATTGCTTTGCCAGCACAACTAATAATTTTTGCATGAATTCAATCAAGAGTTTCACTGTAATTGTAACTTTTCATTATTTGCACTTACACACTAACCAGTATTCCTCAATATCTAATGAAAGCATGTCTGGACCACCTGACCAATGAAAACCTTCAAACCTTTCATTCTTGGTTATTTGCTTTCCTGTTGTATGCTTTGTTACCAGATACACAATTATCCATATATAGAGATTTTATCAGATTGGTTGACTGTTACATTTTGATGACATCACCTGTCAGTTATTTAATGCCAAATTTAAAAAAAAAATATATGGCTTGTATACAATCCTTTGAGTCATTGGTTCTACCTATCATTCTTCAGTTACGGTTTTAAAACAGAATTATTTAATGCTATATTTTGGGATATAGACCAATCACCTTCAAGTAAGCTAGGATAGTCTAGACCAGTCATGTCATAAAATTGTTGACATATAGGTGCAAGATCACTATTATAGGCTAGAATATGTTTTACAATATATGGCTACTGAAATGCTGTGTATTCAGGAGTATCTTCATTTTTAGAAGAACTGCGGGAATCATATAGGAATGTCCTGTTCTGATTCTTGATAAGATGACTTTGTTCCATGACCAGGATGCCACTCTCCTAGAATGGGTTTAATTTTGTAAAGTTTGTTGTTTGAGTAGTAGTTCTATAACACTTGACACTTGTTTAGAATGTATGAGTTTTACCAGATAATTCAGCTTTAATGAATGACAATCGTAACTGCCTACAGTGTATTGATGCAATTCTTTACAACTTATGCTTCTACTTTCTGGAGTTGGCAGTTGAGCATTAAGAACTTATGAAATATCAGGATTCATTCTAAATACCAACTGATATAGAATAAATCCAGGGATATTTTGTAGAATTTTTTTACCTTTATGGACCAAATCAGTGCTGTATTCAGACTCTAGGCAATGGGTCCCAAAGTGGTTGATATCAACCTCTGAATTATCCAGTGATTTGATAAATGCCTGGAGGAGTCAAAGGGGTGATAAATATTCATGTTTATGTCAACCAATTCAATAAAAAAAAAAAAAGCGTATATTAAATTATTTTTAATGTTTATTACTACCTATATCAGAGATGGCAAACCACTGACCCGCAGGTCATGAACCAACCCACCATCAACCTTTTAGTGACCCATGAGGAGTCAGTGAAATGACATCATAAAATATGACTCACCATGAACCATATAAAATCAACCACCAGGAATCACTTTGCTATGGATAAGAGTACTGCATGCATTAAGCTGAAGACAAAGTATGAGCCTTGAATTAAAACATTAGCAACAAAGATGCAGCAACAAGTTTCTTATTAAAACAAATATTGATAAGTATATGAGTAACCCATTTATATTTATGATAAATTTAGAAGTACCAAAGGTGACCTAGCAAATATAGAAGTTCACCATCTCTGACCTGTACTATTTATGAAGTTTTTCTTATTCATGCATCTAACATAGAAATAAGAAATAAACTGAAAGTGAAATAACAAAATGTAAAGCTAAAATAAATCTTATCACTAAACAATAATGAAGGAAGAGAAAAAAGGAATTTCTACCATTAATTAAAAAAAAAAAAGAAGAAAAAAAAGTAAATGAAAATATGCCTAAAGATTTTAGGGTGCAGTGGGCCACATGAAAATATTAAGTCTGTGAATGTCCATGGTCTAGACTGATCATATTTCACTTTCAATAATATTTCTGTCTATATCTGATTATTTCTTTCTAATAAGCCATTGCTCCAAGTTGAATATCCAGCAGTACTGAAGATATTTATGTTAAAATATATTTTGTATCTTGGTATTACAAACTTGCCACTCTGAACAGTTAATGTGGTGCTCCATGAATACTTATCTAGCATCAGATGAAATTTTGCACAAATTTGGATGACTGTTTTGAATTGGTTATAAAACTTGTATAGAACCTCCTGAATTCATTGATGTGTAAATAGCATAAGTTTTATTTCAGTTGATGGAGATCAATATTTACAATCAGATCAGAATATCTGGCTAATAAAAATCCAACAACTGGTTTTGGCGATGGTTCTTTATATATATTTTTAACATGTTACAATTGACTTTAATATGGTCTAGAAAGATGAACTTGTCTAAACTGTATCTGTTTCAATCTATCTGCAGAGGTGTGTCTAAACTGCTTGTATAGTTATAATTATTTTTTTTATTTTACTCAGCTTGTTAACAACATTTCCAATTCAGAATTTTCTGTACTGTATTCATTCTTAAGTATATTAATGCAGTCATGGAAATTTAATAGCTTTGTTAGGTTTCAAATTCAATTGTTTTGTTTTTTATAGTGGTTACTTGCTTCATATATGTGGTCTAGCAGCATTAACAATCTTTTTTGCATTTGGTATTTACAATCTATTTTTAATCATTTAACCCCAAACAAGGCAATAAAGTCACTAAGTCACAGGGGATTATTGAGTGTGAGATACTTTGAATAAAAATACATTATTAAGAAGAAAGAACAATAAAAAACTGGAATTAAGACAGAAGATAACAATTAACACTACATTTAAATTTTTGAAAATCAAAGTTGATTAGAAATCAAAAATCCAGAAGAGAGTTCCACAAGCAAGAAGTGCAAGAGATGAAACTGTTAGTGTGGAACTTACCACTCCAATCTAGCCACTTCAACTATAAAATGATGAGACCATGCCTCCAATCTAGTACTACACTTAAATAAATAAAATATAGCTACCAAAGAAAGCTTACCAGAACAATTACCATGAAAATATTTATAGAAAATCGCACAGGGAAGCTGTTTACAGTGGTAGGAATATGACTGAAGCCAAGGTGAGAATTCAGATTGAAGCATCTAATCTCAAAAATAAAAAAAATTGTTTAAATGAAAATTATCTTCTAGGTTTTTGTTTACCTTTGTGTACAGCAATCTTCAATGATTTTTCTTATTTCAAAGTGAATATGGATAATGCAACCACCTCAAAATGAAATTTTCAATAGACTTTTTTCAAGTATCAATCATCTATAGTAAATACTCTGAACATTTCCCCATATACTGTTTAATTGAACAGTAGAACTTTAATTCTGTCTGGCCTGAAAATTTTTTTTGACTTGGTTAACTAAATCAGCTGTAATTAGACTATTTAACTGTCTGGATAAAGTCTCAGTTCTGTATGACTAAATCCAATTTGAGCTGATTTATTTCACTGTCTTTGTTTTCCTCATTTCTTAGTTTGTGAAATCAGAAAAGCCATAAAATAATTTGCTTTAGAATATAATAGGACATGTGACCATGCACAAAAATTAAACGGTGCTACAAGACTTTTGATCTTTGCTAATAAGAGGTTAACAGGTAAAAGATGAAAAATACATGAAAGCAAAAAAAAACAAAAAAATTTCATTAAAAATATTAGGACTTTAATAATCAACCACTAGAAGTTTTTTTTTTCTTCCACCCATGACAAATATAATTATTTTTAATCCATATTCTCCAAAACACAAATGAGACCTGAACTAGATTTTGGACTACACTCTTCTACCATTGATTCAATCATAGAATTTTTTTAGTATTAATCTTTATAGTGCTCCATATCAGATGCAGTTTCTCTTGTCTAAAAAAAAAAAAAAAAAAAAAAAGGAAATACAAAAAACTTTTGAATTCTTTGAAAATTATATTTCTTTCAGTTAAGAGTAATGAGCTAGTTTGAAAGCCATAATGAACACATCAAGTAAGACATGCCAGAAAGGAGTCAGTCAACTGAGTTGATTTAATACGAAATAGCAACAAGCTGATTTGGGCTGCTCAAGTGTTTATGATTCTTGCTGGCTTGTTCTTAACAAAAGTGAATTAAAAAGAATATTTCTTGAAAGATTCAGTACTTTCTAAATTCATAATTACCAAGGAAACAAAATTTTGAAATCTAAATCACCTATGGGATTTAAGTAGGGAAAAATGTAGCATCTGTTTTTAGAAAGAAGAATATTAAATTATTA